AGAAAAGGGAGAAGAGAGGGGGTATCAAATCGCTGGACCAGCTGTGGAGGTGCTAACAGCTCAGCAACCCCTGAGCAGGGTCTGTGGGCAAGGAGGGTGTCCAGTGTTGGTTCACCTGTACATTTTTTTTCTGTAAAGATGAACTAACCCTTTCAAAAATACTTTTACTGAAAAAAAACAATTTTTCTATCATTTTACCCATTTTAAAATTACACTAAAATAATGTTTCAAAGCAGGGCAAAATTAATTGCAAATGAAAAAAGCCTTTTTTTTCTTGTTATGAGACACTTAAAAAGGTAACAAACAAAATAAATAACTATATAAATATATAAAAATAGAAATGAAAAAAAAAAAACCCAGAAAAATGATAGTTAATGGGGGTAGAGAGATAGAAGTAAATTAGGGCTAATTGGGATTAACTAAGGGTTAATAATGTTTTAAGTGGGAATACATTTTATTTCAATTTTATTTTATTTGCAAGGTTTCCTTAGGTTAAGGTCACACCTTTTGATCTACATATGAATGATTCAGAAAATACAAGTAATACATTGGTTTATTATATTTACTAAGTGAAACTTGTAGACTATCCGCAAGTGTCATTTTACACAGAAGCGGCTGCCTTTTGACAATTCCTGCTGTATAATACAAATCAAATAGAGACTATCATAGTCAGCTGGTAATGGCATCAGGAGGAAAGATGCTGGATGTAGGAGATGTGTCCTAAAATCTATGTTGAAGTTTTTTAAGGACGTATTTCTTATGTTCAGCATGTTCAAATGGTTAACAAGCCTGCACTAAAGGAACCAGATCCATCATGCTAAATAAGATGAAAACCCACATTGTTGATCAGATCTTCACTGGAACAGAAGAAGAAAAATACAACCTGTGCAACTGCTATAAAGGAAAAGGTTCACAAAAAAGAGGCAATATCACCCTTATAGGGGATATAAAAAGTCTGCACACCCTTGTTAAAATGTCAGGTTTCTGTGATGTAAAAAAAATGAGACAAAGATAAATCATTGCAGAACATTTTCACCTATAAACTGTACAACTCAGGTGAATAACAAACTGAAATCTTTTAGGTGGAGAGAAGTAAAAATAAAAAAACTAAAATAATATGGTTGCATAAGTGTGCACACCCTTAAACTAATACTTCTTTGAAGCACCTTTTGATTTGATTCCAGCACTCAGTCTTTTTGGGTATGAGTCTATCAGCATGGCACATCTTGACTTGGCAATATTTGCCCACTCTTCCTTGCAAAAACACTCCAAATCTGTCAGATTGCAAGGGCATCTCCTGTGCACAGTCCTCTTCAGATCACCCCACAGATTTTCAATCGGATTCAGGTCTGGGCTCTGGCTGGCCATTCCAAAACTTTAATCTTCTTCTGGTGAAGCCATTCCTTTGTTGATTTGGATGTATGCTTTGAGTCGTCATGCTTTGAAAGTTCTCTTCATGTTCAGCTTTCTAGCAGAAGCCTGAAGGTTTTGTGCCAATATTGACTGGTATTTGGAACTGTTCATAATTCCCTCTACCTTGACTAAGGCCCCAGTTGCAGCTGAAGAAAAAGATCCCCAAAGCATGACGCTGCCACCACCATGCTTCACTGTGGGTATGGTGTTCTTTTGGTGATGTGCAGTGTTGTTTTTGCACCAAACATATCTTTTGGAATTATGGCCAAAAAGTTCAACCTTGGTTTCATCAGACCATAACACATTTTCCCACATGCTTTTGGGAGACTTCAGATGTGTTTTAGCAAAATTTATCTGGGCTTGGATGTTTTTCTTCGTAAGAAGAGGCTTCAGTCTTGCCACTCTACCCCATAGCCCAGACATATGAAGAATACGGGAGATTGTTGTCACATGTACCACACAGCGAGTACTTGCCAGATATTCCTGCAGCTTCTTTAATGTTGCTGTAGGCCTCTTGGCAGCCTCCCAGAGCAGTTTTCTTCTCGTCTTTTCATCCATTTTGGAGGGATGTCTAGTTTTCTCCACTTGATGATGACTGTCTTCACTGTGTTCCATGGTATATATAATGCCTTGGAAATTCTTTTGTACCCTTCTCCTGACTGATACCTTTTAACAATGAGATCCCTCTGATGCTTTGGAAGCTCTCTGCGGACCATGGCTTTTGCTGTAGGATGTGACTAAGAAAATGCCAGGAAAGACCTACTAGAACAGCTGAACTTTATGTGGGATTAATCAGAGGCAGTTTAAATGATGGCAGGTGTGTACTGACTCCTATTTAACATGATTTTGAATATGACTGCTTAATTCTGAACACGCTACATACCCAGTTATAAGAGGGTGTGCACACCTATGCAACCACATTATTTTAGTTTTTTATATTTACTTTAACCCCCCCCCCAAAAAAAAAAAAGATTTCAGTTTGTTTTTCAATTGAATTGTACAGTTTATAGGTCACATTAAAGGTGGAAAAAGATCTGCAATTAGTTATCATTTTTTTACATCACAGAAGCCTAACATTTTAACAGGGGTGTGTAGACTTTTTATATCCACTGTATATTATACTGAGTACTGAGGAATTGCAGGTATTCAGGTGGAGCTCTATTACTTCCTGCTGCTAATACCTTTTCCTTACGGCCAGTGATGATGACATTGTGCAGAATCTCAGGGTCAGGTGATAGAAACTTCCTAGATCTATTGCCATAGCAGAGTATTTCTTTGTAGAAGAAACCAAAATCACACAGCAAAAGAAAATGATGCCGAAATGACACCAGTATTTGTAAGCTGAAAAGTTCTGATTCTTGATATTCTACAAACAGGAACTTCTCTTTGGAGACCTTAAATTGTCTGAATGTAAACATAAACTGTATGTAAACTCTTAACAATTAGACTTTTTTTTTATTTGTTCCCTTTTGGTTTGTTAAATACACAATTGAAAGTGTTTTGCTATATCTTTATCTGATGATCCTGCCACAAATCTTGTGAGCTGATAACTTCCTGCCTTTAGGACAAGAATTGTGCTGCTGGCATGATTATCTGATGAGTTCAAATCACATATCTTTTTATCTTTTCAGAGATTTGTGGATTATGGTGTGACACAGCCGTCGGCTCCCAGCTTGCTAACAAGGTAAAGTGCCTGCTGGATGTGATTTATTATTGGGACAGCAGATAAAGGGATATGATGTATTTCTGTTGGGAAAGCACCGGTATTGATATCGGTATTGATATCGGTGCCGATACCGAGTATTTTCAGGAGTACTCGTACTCCTTGTACGTGCTTCCGATACCTGAAACCGATACTTTGCGGTGCAGTTTGGGTGCATCCACAATGAATGGGCGCAATTCGCACTGCAAAGAATTGCATTCGATTTGAATAGGAATGGAGTGCAATTCTTTCCCCGAATCGCATGTGGGTTCCCACACTGCTCCTGTATGAACTCAGGCTGCAATCACTATGACACACAGGAGCAGTGGGGAAACAACATGCGAATTAGACAGGAATCACACCATATTCCTGTTCAAATCACATGCCATTCTTTGCAGTGCGATTTGCGCTCATTCATTTTGTATCGGAAAGTATCAAAATTATTGGTACTCGCCGATTTAAAAATAGTATCTGTGCATCCCTATTTTCCATATTTGGGAGATACACCATATGCACATATGCAGGTAAATACTGATGTATGAGAGCGTTTACTTCAACGTTTACTTAAGTGAAAGTGCATACAGCATGGCTGCAGCTCCCTCGATGCTGGAGAGTGCTGGATGCTTACACCAGAGCTCCCTTACACCTGTCAAATTCGGGGGATACCTGCTCCGCTTTAAGGAAGATGTTTATAATCAATACTGTAGTGTGTTTTTTAGTTTAGTTTCCAATATGTGGAGTCCCTCTATTGACGTTCCTTTCTTTACCCAAAATGCACCTGGCTCTGGCACAGGAACACTGGTTGGAAATTTCCTCCAGATTCCGTTAATCATGAGATCAGTGAGCCGGTACAACAGTCACGGCACATTGACTTTGCAGCCGTGCTTTATGGCTGATGTGCAGAGAGATTGATCTGTGGACTCTGGCGGTCTCTCATGGCGAGGCCCCTGCCTCTTGCTCCGGGGAATATTTCACCTCTGATACTGTGAGGTGTGATACTCTGAGTGTTTTTTATAGGCTGTTCCCAGATTTATATGTGTTCCACAGTACAGTGCAGCTACGATGCCCCCCAGAGCACCTGGGTTATACTACAGCAAAACTCCTATAAAAGACCACCAAACCCAAATGGCGTTCCATCTTTTATGGAAGAGACAGAGAGGGCTTGTTCACACCACACATTATTGTTTGCAGAACTCTGATTCCCTGCTATGCTGTGCGAATAGATGCTGCCGTGAGAGGCAATGCATTGTTAAACTCATTGCAATGCTTTCTTTATTTCCTTCTTAATTAGAAAAAAAATTGTATTATAATAGATGCATTGAGTTAACCACTTCATGTCCGAACACTTTTACCCCCTTCTTGTCCAGGCCAGTTTTCATCTTTCAGTGCTATCTCACTTTGAATGACAATTGTGCGGTCATGCAACACTGTACCCATATGAATTTTTTTGCATTTTTTGAGACAGATAAAATTTATTTTGGTGGTATTTATTCACCACTGGGATTTTTATTTTTTTTGCTATATAAATGAAAAAGTCCAAAAATGTTGAAAAAAAGTGTTTTTCTTATAAAATTTTGCAAATCTTTCTTCATAAATCTTGGCCAAAATTTATTCAGTTATCTTTTTATAAAAAAAAAAATAACTCAAATTAGTTTATAACCAAAATTATAATTTTTCAAAAACTTATTTTTCTATTTTTATTTTTTTTATAACATACTGTCACCCTAGCAGTACAGTGTCACCATAGTGACACTGTACTACTTATGGGGGGTGATGAAGATTTTTTTTTTTTTTACACTGATTGCTTTTACACCCATAAAGGCTGTAAAATCAATAATTTCTCCTTCTCTGTGGCTGCATTCTTGCAGCCATTGAGGAATACTGTGAGAGCTGTGATTGGTTACAGCTTGTCACATGGTACAAGGCTGTTGTGAATAGCCTTGTACCCTGTGATCTCTGTGATCATTCACAGATTTCACATGTAGTAAGCAATGATGTCAGAAGTGACATCTTGCTTACACCTATTCATGTGATCACTGATTGGCTGATCACTGATTGGCTAATCAGTGATCACATGATCGGGACCACACACAGAGGTCCCGTACAGCGATCGGTGTTCCGGACACAGCGGCACCGGATCGCGGTGCCTCGCGCTCCCAGAGAGCACGCACAGTCCAAAATGGCAGGCGCCATTTATGAACGGCAACTTGCCCCTGCACTGCCACCATTCGGCCATTTATATACAGCAGCCGGACGGGAAGTGGTGAAAGCAGAGCTCTACACAAAAGTGAAAGTTCCACTTTAGATACACAGAATATAACTGGATACTAACATTTATAGGTAAAGGTGATTCAGGAAATATTCAACTGCCTCTCGGGGGATCAGGAAGGATTTTTTTCCCCTGCAGGAGCAAATTGGATCATGCTTTGCTGAGTTTTTTGCCCTTCCTCTGGATTAAATGTGGGTATAGGATTATAATTTTTTTTTTTTTTTAATGGTTGAACTGGATGGACTTTTGTTTCTTTTCAGCCAAACTAACTATGTAACTTTAAGGCCTCATCCCCCGCTCCCTGTTAAAGATTGGCACCTTTGGGGAGTGGGTACATGATTTTGACAGGTACCTGCTCCCACTTCCGCTGTGATCACTTAAGCAATCGGAAGCGGAAGTTCTTCTCCCCTCCACATTCATGTAGGACAATTGACAGGTCCCAGAGGACTGTGGGACCATTCACAATGTGCAGCACTGCTCTTGTATGCACAGTGGGCACCTGGCTGTGAAGCCACAAGCTGTCACAGCCACGTGCCCACACTTAAGATGCTGGCACTGGGGACACAGGGCGACCGGTGAACCCAGCTTCGGCAAGGACACCGCTGGATCCTACAGTTTTTGTAGCTGCTGACTTAATTTTTTCACCAGAGGCTGGAGCTCTGGCTTAACACGTTTTGTCATACGATTTTTGTGCATGGTGTAAAAATGCAGACATGCTGCAATTATCTTCCCATTTTTTGCATTGAGCCTGTGTTGATGAATGCAGATCAATGCACCTGGTATGAATGAACCCCAATAACCAAAAATATATTTGGAAAGCAGCATAAGCTCATTGGAACTGAATTATTTATTTGATAATAAGGATGCAATCCCAAGGGGGGACTTTTTCCTGCAAATAGTGTTTTTCTTGTCAGTAATCACATGAAAGAACAACGCAGGCAATGTCCGCTCATCATGAAATGTATGATAAACGTTAAGGTGCCATGTTTTCAGGAGGTGGTCCCTTGTACATGATTCCAAGTGACTACTCTCACAGTTGTCGGTTGGCAAGATTGGGAAACTTGTCTCCATTTCTATCTGCCCTTCCTTCTCCCCCTTTCCACATTTGCCTTTCTTCGGTTTCCCTCCCCTGTTTCTAGCCCTTGGGGAAAGCTAGAATTGTGCTCACTTGTCTTCATAGGTCTGTCAGCGCATAAAGCATCAAGTAAAACCAATTGGTCAGTTGCTACTGCCAGCAGGGAGTACTGTAGCTCTACTAAAGGCAGAAGAGTTGCAAAAATTTCCCTAAATTTAAAGCTGAAACTAAATTTTAAATATTTCCTTAATAGCCGCAAAGAATATAAATTAATTCTGTGTGCACCAAGTGCCTTGCAAACCCAGATATTACCTTTTAAAGTAGCAGTAACATCATCAATTTGTTGTACATATTTTGTGCAGAGAGTTTAGCTGTGGTAGGGACCTAACAGGCTCCACCCACTTACAGGCTGCCTACAGAAAATTCCAGGAAGGGGCAGAGACAAGACCAGTCACCCTGCACAAGGAGAGAGAGCAGCAGTGACTGGTCTGTATTACTGGAAGCTCCCATACAGGGTTCAAGTTTCACACTGGATTACTGCACAGATCTAGAAGTAATACACAAAGCACACCAAGATTCAAGGAACAATACACAGGACTCTTGTATTTAGACAATATTTGCTTATCTTGGAGTCCACCTTCATTTTTTGGGGTAATATAGGCAGATTCAGCAGGATGCTCATAGTGTTTCCCTTGGAACTGGGAAACTTCCTTGGACTACTGATAATAGGTTTTTGTGCTGTGCGGTCTCCTTTACATACTCCACTGTATGTGATCAGAGAGAAGGCAGGGCTCAGAACCAGTGAATTCAATCTCTATATTTTCATAGGGTCAGATTCCCTTGTTACCTTTATGTACATATAGGGATTTTACAGATGGGACAATTAAGAGCAGATAACTGTTATTTCTGTAACACATCTTGATCTTAGGGAGCCCATAGATGGATCAGCTTTTTTTTTGTTCAACCAGTAGGTTGAACAGAAAAAAACCAAATTGAATCGATTTCTCCATCTACAAATTCCCCAAATCCTCCCTGCTGAGCTATTGTATTCTGACAGAGGGGCTAAAGCCTGCAGCACTGATCAAGGAGGGAAAATCCGAGAAGGCAGAAGTCGATCAGTAGATCAATGTCTGCACAAGCACCTTGACCATACAAAGGTGGTACCTGCTGAACCAGCCAATTTTAGATCTATGTATCACAAGCTTTATAAGTGGCAGGTTGCAGTATTATATTACTACAGGACAGGAAGTCACAGTATTTCACCTTTAATTTAAATATAAAAAGTTCTGATAAAATTCTGAAGCTTTTGTCACAATCATTTATTAATATACATTAATAAACAGCTTACTATTTATATTTAGTGATCCTTTAAGTTGTGCCTTGTGTTTGTTGGTGGGGCTGGGTCAATCAGGTCCAGGCTCATCTGCCTTTTCACCGTCTCTTTTCCACCCATTTTAGGAGTCCTGGGTTCGGTTCTGGGTTCCTGCCCCCATCAGAGACGACTCCCACAGAGCCACAGCAGACAGAGGTGCAGTATCCTGCCAGGATGTACCCTGAGGACATACCATCTGTGGCCAGACCCCGCCCCCTCGGCAGCACCTCAGGTAATTAATAATCATGATGTGGGTAGTGGTGAAATGTTACATTATGTTTATATTTTTTATACATAATATATATATATATATCCGTATCCGCCACCCCCCTCTGCCAATCCCTCCACTGGCTTCCGATTGCCCAACGCATAAAATTCAAAATGCTAACACAGACATACAAAGCTGTTCATAACACTGCTCCAAACTACATCACTGACCTGATATCCATCTACCACCCAAAATGCACTATCCGCTCCTCACAAGACCTCCTATTCTCTAGTTCCCTGGTCTCCTCCTCCCATGCCCGCCTCCAGGACTTCTCCAGGGCTTCCCCTATCCTTTGGAACTCACTACCCCAATCCATCAGACTGTCACCTACCCTCCTCACCTTTAGGCACACCCTGAAAACCCATCTCTTCAGAGAAGCCTACCCTGCCCTCACCTAACTGCTGATCTCCTCTGCTCCCCCCCACCACTCCATCCCCCACAGCTATTTCCTCCTGTACCACTCTCCCCTCCTCCTAGATTGTAAGCTCCAAGGAGCAGGGCCCTTGAACCCCTCGTGTATTTTATTGTATTGTTTTACTGTACTATCTCATGTATTGTCTCCCATTGTAATGTACAGCGCTGAGCAAACTGTTGGCGCTATATAAATACTGTGTAATAATAATAATAATAATAATAATAATATATATTTTATTATTATTATTCAGTATTTATATAGTGCTCAGCGCGTGTGTCTGTGAATATTCTGGGGATCAACTTCCATGTTCCATTATTAGCATCTTGCAGAACAAAACAATTGTTGTAGATTTTACTTTTTAGTGCAGGTAGTGTGAGGATCTGGTATGGGATGAGGTAAGTATGTTGCAAAAGGGGTTCATTTAGGGTCCATTTACACTATTGCGTTGGGCTAACACGTGGCAATGCACATTACATGCACTGGTGGGATGTACTGCCATTCATTCTGAATAGCATCTTGCAGACAAACAAGTGTTGTGGTGCAAAAGTCTGCCAGCCATGCTGTGCGTAGTTTTTGATCAGTTGTGATGCAATGGGGAGCCCATTCAAAGTAACAAGCTGTCCTAATGCAATGTTTACTGCACTGCAGCTGAGCATCAGGCTGGTGTCTTAAGGAATGCTGTAGGGGTGAGGTAGGGTTAGTATTAGGGTTTGCATGATCATATATATATATATATATATAATATATATAAATAATCTAGTTTCTGACCTCTGAATGGACACAAGTTATTTTTTATCTGTTTTAAAGCTGCTTTTCATTGTCTCACCTGTAGGCCCTGTGCAGCAGCCATCCCAAGCCTGCTTGAAAAACTCCTATGTAGGCAACCCCTCTATGCAGCCTAGATGGCAGGATGTACTGGGTGTACATCCTGACCCTCAGCTTTGCAGGAATGAGCACACTGGTTCATTTTGGTGCACCCTTGCATGCACAATGCATCTTTCTCCTCTATTACACATCACTGAACTCAGCTGTGACAGGGAAAAAGAAATGCCACTGCGCATGCACGAGTTTTGAGTGAGCCAGAGTAGCCGTTCCTGCAAAGATGAGGGGTGCACGCCCAATGTCCAGCGCCTCCTGCCATCTAGGCAGGGCAGAGTCGGGGGGGGGGGGTCACCTACCTAGGATTTTTTTAGCAGTGTTTTTATTCTACTGGGGACACCAGAATGCTTGTGCACACATGAGGCCAGGAGGCAATAGAAATAGGTGGTTGAGCCTTAGCTATCTGCATGAGTCACTTCTGACATGTTATGCCAACACCACAGACGTCTGGGGGACAGCTCCCAAAACACAGAAGGTGATTGATAGTCTCAGCTGTGCATATTTTCCTATGACACTGTGTAGAGGGGGTTGTCCATTCCCTCTACTCAGGTATCAGATTACACTCAGCTCTGTGCTCTGCTGTGCATTGTGTGAAGACAGATTCCCCTGCCCTCCACCTGCTTTATGGAGCTATAATCAGATAAACTGTTACGGCTTATGTAGGAAGATTTGTTTGTATTTGTGTATTACCTGAAACTAGTTATTTTAGTTGGTACAGTTAGGTCCATATATATTTGGACACAGGCGCATCATTTTTTTTCTCAGGTATTTACCAAACTGTTGATTTGTCCATTCTTAATGTTGCTGCTATCTCTGATGGATTTGTTTCATTTTTTAAGGCTTACAATGGCCTGTTTCACTTGCATGGACTGCTCCTTTGAACGCATGAAGGTTCACAGCAATAGATACCAAATGTAAATA